TTAGGGTTTGGGGTTTGGGATGTAGTTTCCACGAATAGGGTAAACCCCAGTATGCGTAGTGCTCAAACATGGAAAATGAGACGGAAGCTGGGTTATGTACAGTGTCCCGTAGACAAAGGGACCCCAATATAGATCCGCAAAAACCATAATCCTTAATACGGGGACCCCCAAAAAGGAGCCCCGTGCTTTGACAATGTAGTAGGGGCATGCAAAAGCTGCTTGGCTTCTTAACAGTTGCCTGCTTCCGAGTTTCACTTGGCTTCAGGCGCTGAGTAGCTTGAAGCAGTCCCATGAGGGGTCTAGTGAGTCTAGTGACCACATGATGTCACCCACACGCCACAAGCAATTGCCACCTCAGCCGAAGTTGTGGCGAGCAGAGTGAGAATGCTGCTTTGGTGCCGCAACAGACCTAAACCAAGCAGCCTCCTGAATTTGTACATCCCACATCTTCGTCATGAATATCTCGTGGCCAGATGGCCCAGCAAGGGTTAATACTCTGATGGCACGGGGCTATCACGGGCTTGTACCATGTGCAGAGCACTGAGTCGCAGACAAGACCCTATGGCCACATCGAGCAAACTATTCCATCCATGAATCCTCAGCTAGCAGCTAGCAGCAAGGGTATCGGTATCAGCAAAGGCAACTCTGCATGACCGCTATGTCCGGGTCTGTGGTGAAGTCAAGCTACACCACGGCCACAGGAGCGCGCCGTCAGGTCATGGTCCTCTGCCAAAGGTGTAGGCCATATCACAGCATGCTCTGAGTCTCATGAACGTTCCTACGTCTGAAGGAATCTCAAGCGCACTGTAAGCCCGCCGGAACAAGGCTGCACTGCTTCCGATGGGGCCCGAAATACTGTATGTACAATTGGGGACTGTAGGTGCCATAAGGGGTCCGTTCCTCCAATCGCGACTAGCAACGAGCAGCTGCAGTACCTGATGCGCTCAGCCTTGATCTTTGGGATCCCCTCTTTTTGTTTGTGGGGGGGGGTTGGGCCAATTTTATGGCGGTCCTAACAAGATGCGGTACTTTCCCAAAATAGGCCCAATAATATAGACCCCAAGATAC